CATTACATTGGGGTCTCCCCTCCCTCTGTCCTAGGTCTCTCTACGATGAGGGATGCTGCCGGACAATACTTGCCGAATACAGGCAGCTGAAAACGGAAAAAGGATAGGAAACATCCGGACAGGAGTTTGAAAAAAAGGGGGTCAGAGGAAGTTAGAAAGGGGGGACAAGAGGGGGAAACTAAGGAGGGGAGATGAGAGGGGGAAGGGAGGAAGGGGGAGGAGAAGAGGCTCAGCCCACGCGGAAGGTAGGGGCAGGACGGGCGGAGGACAAGGCGGAAGACAGGTGGACCAGTAAGGGCAGGGACACAAGAGAGAAGGGAGGAAGGGAAGGAGGAGAAGAGAGATAAAAGGGGAGCGGAGAGGAGAACAGGGGGGGGAGAAGTGGAAGAATGCGTACAGAGGGCGAAGAGGTAAAGGAAGGCAGGGGATAGAGGTAAGGTGAACAAAGGGGGGGCGCGGTGCAAAGTGGAGTGAATGAAAAAGGGGGGAGAGGTGTAGACGATAGAGCGTGTACAGGCAGGCAGGGCCACAGGAGGAAAGCGGAGTGGAGAGGATTAGAGGGGGAACGGAAAGGGAGAGCATAGACGGGTACGGGCAGCGGCGGGGAGAAAGAGGGGGGCGGAGAGCAGCAGGAGCGAGGTAAGGGGCAGTTGGGGGGGGAGACCGCACAACGCGGGGGGAAGGGGGGAGATAAGAAAGGGAGAAGAGAACAGACGGTGGCAGAGGGGGCGGGAGCAGAGAAGGCGGGGAGGGCAACGCGCTGCACCGCCCGGCGGCGCGGGGGGAGGACGGCCAACGGGGGCGCGGACGAGGAACGAGAGAAGGAGAAGGAGGAGGCAGCGAAAAAGGGCGGCGGAATCGGAGCCGAATTCGCCAACGCCCACCGGGAGACGCAAGCAGACCGCGGGTGCCGAGGCCTTTCTGTTTCCATTCTGCTTGCTCCCTTTTCTTTTCTCTTCTGTCTGTATGTGGGCCTGCTGGAGGAGAAATAACACTAAGAAGATGTGAGCAAGAGACAGGGAGAGAGAAGAGAGGAATAAAAGCGAAAGAGGGGGCGGAAAAGAAGAGTAAGGAAAGGGGGGGGGGAACCAGACGGGGGGATAGGGCGGGAGAGCAAAGAAGCAGAAGGAGCAGACAGGCCGGTGGACCGGCGCGACTCTCAGGAGACCGCCGCCCCAACACATGAAAGACAAGGAACGGTGAAGCTCAAGATAGAAGCAGGGAAGGAAGAGGGCCCCTTTTTAAACTTTTATTGGTTTTCTTCTGGGTTGGCAACTACTCATCTACTCTCTGCCTATAAACTCACACCTACTCTTCTCTTTCAGCTAAATGTCTCTTTTCAGTTAATTGCTTGCTTCCCAACTTAGCGTTTTTTCCCGAGACAAGTACCAGAGAGGCGGGACGAGAAGGGCAGATAGGGGCTCCCCTCTGCTTTCTTCCCTGCTGTTCTTCTTTTTCCTCTCTTTCTACGCTGAAGGCATCTCTGTTTCCCTTTTTTTTTTATTTTACCCTTTTAGATTATTTATTCCTTGCTCGGGGTGCACGAAGAAGGACACCCTTCCAGGGGGCCCCCCAGAGAACACAACGGAAGTTCCCTATGGTTTTTGTGTTTTTTGTGGAGATCCGCCTATAAGGAGATCGCGTGTTTGCTCGAGGGAGCCGGAGGGGGGGAGAAGGAGACGGGGAGATGGGGAGGAAGAGGAGGAAGCGAGGAGGGGGGGGGTAGGGAAGGAGAGGGGTAGAGGAAGGTAGATCAGATCAGGGAGGGGGGAAGGGGAGCCAGAGGAGATAGTGGAGGGAGTGGGGGGGAGAGAGGAGCAGGGGAGCGTAAGAGAGGGGAGACGAGACGGGAGAGGAGGGGGGATAGGAGAGGTGGGAGGGGAAGCGGAGAAGTAAATGCGGGGGAAAGGAGAGATAGAGAAGGGAGAGGAGGAGGAGGGAGAGACTCGCTTTCTTTCTCTTCTTCGCTTCTCCAAGGCGAAGCACTCTGCGTCTTATCCTTTTGCCGCGAAGGACCGGAGGGAAGGGGAAAGAGCAGAGCGCACGTAGCAAGAGGGAGGGAGGGGGCGAAGGGAGGGAGGAGGAGGGAGCGAAGTGTATGCGGAAGGAGCGTCTATATCATTCACCAAACCATTCGTAGAAGACAGCCTTCTGTGACAACTCTATAAGGGGTCGGAAGAGAAGAGACGAAGGGAATGGAAGAAGAGAGGAAAGGGAAGAAGCAGAGAGGGAAGGAAGGGGAGAAAGGGAAGGGAGGTCAAGAAGGGGAGGAAGAACGGTCTATTTTCTTTCTTCAACTCTCTGTCTTTCTGCTGATCTTTTCTTTTCTCCTGTGTCTTCTCGGGACGGCAGCGGAAACGCGGTGCGGGGGCGGCGCGCGGACGCGGGACGGCGGCCACGGCCCGAGGGAGAGACAGGAGAGAAGGAGGGAGAAGGACAAGGAGAAAGGACAAGTGGAGGGAGGCGGCGACGGGAGGAGGGAGACGAGGGGAGGAACGGGCAAAAGGAAGGTTTAGAGAGGTCAGGAGTTTATCCCTCCGTTCCTTTGGATCTTTCATTTGTCTCCCTCTGTATTATGGTTTGATGGTGCTATATGTTCAAATGGGTTGGACTGCAACTGCACTCTCAAGCTACAACCTGAACCCTACAAACTTCTGGCTTCTACTGCCCAGTCGCTACTAGCTATATACCCCTGGCCTCCACCTTTCACTTCAGCTGGAATAGACCTCTCCTAAAGAAAAAAACTTTCATTCACAATTCACAACAAAGCATATTGTATAATGAATGTTGGTTTAGTTTTGTACTTGCGCATGTGCCCGCTAGTCTCTCACGCAAGAATTGCGCAAAATTGCAAACTACGTCACGACCATCCCCCCTTCCCCCACAATGCACTGTGAGTGTGTGTGTGATCAAATCTTCAAGTCACAAATATGCAGTGCATAAATTTCCACCCACGCGTGTGTGAACCCTAATGCGTGCAGCCCCTCGCTTGCCGCTCTGCACCGCGAAAAGGGTGGGGCTGAGCATGTGCCAAAAAAGTAAGTGGAACAAGTGGAAAAATCATTTCTTCAAAATGAAGGGGGATGTAGGGATGGTGTAAATTATGAAAAAGGATACCAACAAGAAAGATGCTTCGGCTGAAAACAAAAATCATACATCCATCCCTACATCTTTCTTTAACCTCCACCTATGAGACAGGGTTCAGAGGTGAAGTCGCAGAGAGGGATGGGACAACCTCAACTGTGATTTGTTATGAATTAGTATACCCTACACCAAAACTGAGTGCCTACACATTCTTCGACAGAGCTGAAGAAAGAAAGATGTAGGGATGGATGTATGATTTTTGTTTTCAGCCGAAGCATCTTTCTTGTTGGTATCCTTTTTCATAATTTACACCATCCCTACATCCCCCTTCATTTTGAAGAAATGATTTTTCCACTTGTTCCACTTACTTTTTTGGCACATGCTCAGCCCCACCCTTTTCGCGGTGCAGAGCGGCAAGCGAGGGGCTGCACGCATTAGGGTTCACACACGCGTGGGTGGAAATTTATGCACTGCATATTTGTGACTTGAAGATTTGATCACACACACACTCACAGTGCATTGTGGGGGAAGGGGGGATGGTCGTGACGTAGTTTGCAATTTTGCGCAATTCTTGCGTGAGAGACTAGCGGGCACATGCGCAAGTACAAAACTAAACCAACATTCATTATCAGAGAGTCGGTAGACTCTCTATATAGGGATGACACGGGTGAAATCTCACGTGATCCGCGTACAAAACGCCTCAAAACTTGGCGAGAATGACTCACCATTGCTTGAAAATCACTAGCAATAGTCTACAGGCCAATACCTAGCTATACATACTCCCCAAGACTTCCTACGTGCCCTCAGTTCCCCACGAGAGAATTGGCTCTTACGCGATTTCACGAGTTTCGTGTCATCATCATCATCATATTCTTCATCTTCCGGTTTCTTCTTCAGTAAACCCGCTATCTCGTTACCGAAAATAGTTGAAGTGCTGATTTTTCCATCAAACGTTTCCAGATTCGCCAGAGGTGTGCAAGGACATCAAGCGATCGTCTCTTTCTTGCCGCAAGTCACTACGGTAGATCGTTGAGCTCCTCCACGGTAGTCACTGAACAACGCCATTTTTGCTGCTAACTCAGCATCAGTGAGCCGCATGCGCCGAGGAGGGCGTTTCCCCAAAGCGGTGCGCGCGCATTCTCGTGCGTGAACCGGGTCTACGAGACTAAGCCAGGATGCCCGCAGAGGAACTCTTATCCTCCAGTGCCTTCTGTAAGTCAGTATACACATTTTTTAACTGGCTAGCTTGCTTTTAGCTGTTGATTTGCACGTGGCAGTCTGCGCCGGGTTACGCGAGCCTTACAAATTAGCCTTCTTTCTTTGTCCCCCGGGGTAGCTAGCTAATAGCTATATACCATTACTGAAGCCTGCCCATGAAATCGCCACCGTGTGCCACCACCTGATTATTGCGTCCTTGTTGGCCTTGAGACACTACGCGTACATCCCCGCTTCAGGCGCAGCAGCCCATTAGCTACTGCTTTCATCAGTTATCTCTACAACATACCCATGAACATCAGGTGACATCAGTGTTGTCATAAGCAGTTAAAAATAGTGGAAACAAGTGGAAAAATCATTTCTTCAAAATGAAAGGGGGATATAGGGATGGCTTGAAGCACCAAAAAGGAACAAACAAGGGGTCATTACACGGCAAGGTTGCACAAAGCTACATGACACCATCCCTATATCTTTGTTGTTATACGGCTCTGCAATAGAGGTTGTCTTGCATGTATATTTAGCTCAAGGGAAAGTTTGCTTATAAACAATAAAACAAAGATATAGGGATGGTGTCATGTAGCTTTGTGCAACCTTGCCGTGTAATGACCCCTTGTTTGTTCCTTTTTGGTGCTTCAAGCCATCCCTATATCCCCCTTTCATTTTGAAGAAATGATTTTTCCACTTGTACAATATGCTTTGTTGTGAATTGTGAATGAAAGTTTTTTTCTTTAGGAGAGGTCTATTCCAGCTGAAGTGAAAGGTGGAGGCCAGGGGGTATATAGCTAGTAGCGACTGGGCAGTAGAAGCCAGAAGTTTGTAGGGTTCAGGTTGTAGCTTGAGAGTGCAGTTGCCGTCCAACCCATTTGAACATATAGCACCATCAAACCATAATACAGAGGAGTAGACAGACAATGTAAGGAGTAGGCTTACAATAGGAGTTGTTACTGTAACAAAGGCTAGGTTGGAAGTGGGATAAGGTGTGAAGGAATGTACAAGTCAGCAGTGGTGATAAGGGAAAAACACTTCAGAGCCCCACCTGCCAAGCAACTCCCAGATAATCTTATAATGGCTGGGTATCCTCCCCACTGTCTGTGTTGTGCAGCCATATCAGCAATATTTTCCTTCAACTGGGCAACAGCTGCCTTTTTCTTACCAGGGTCAGCATGATAGGAGGTCCTAGCCACTTACCAGGGTCTGACTGACAAAGGGATCTACCTCTAGCCTTTATATTCTCGGAATTCTGCACATAATATCTACTGCCCTCCTTTTCAAGCAATAAGGCAAAAACTTGAACTTATCTCAAAGGATGGAGAAGCCCGGGTGGCAGTGACGACAGCAGAGCGGTGGTAGAGCGCAGTGGAGGGCCTTGCGATTGAAGAAACAGGGTGAGGTTCTTGTTATCAGCCACGACTGTCAACAGAGAAGTGCTAGCTAGAGGCCAAGGGATGCAGGAAGGAGAGTTGTCAGGCAGCTTACTTTTGACCGTGGCGACTCCAGCACAATAGTAGCAGCAGTGCGGACAAGACAGACACGGAGTGTCACGTGGAGGCTGTCTCGTGAAGTCGTGGGGAAAATTCGTCGCGTGGAACCTCGAAAGAAAATTCACAATGAGCTGGATTGCAGCTAGCTAAAGTACACACAATAGTAACTCCTTACCACAAGACGGATAGCTAGGCCCAAATTCGGGAGCAAACTCAGGCGAGCGAAAAACAAGCCGCCAAACGGAGCACACGGCTATATAGCACCACGCGGTCCGCTCTCCCCTGCCTGGCGCATGCGCACGGCTCACTGGTGCTGAGTTAGCAGCAAATGGCGTTGTTCAGTGTCGACCATGGAAGATCTCCATGATCTACCGTAGTGACTTGCGGCAAGAAAGAAACGATCGCTTGATGTCCGTGCACACCTCGGACGAGATTGTAGACGTTCAGTGAAAAAATCAGCGCTCCAACTGGTACTGGTAAGGAGAAAGCGGGTCTAAAGAAGAAGAAGAAGAAGAATATGATGACACGAAAATCAGAAATCGCGTATGAGCGGATTCTCGTGTCGAGAATTGCAGGGACATATGAAACTTCTGGGCATATGTATAGGTAGATATGGACCCGTGAGAGACTTTTGGTGTGTTTTGAAGGCATAGCTAGCCATTCTCGCCGAGTTTCGAGGCGTTTTGTACGCGGATCACGTGAGATTTCACTCGTGTCATCCCTACATGTACATAGAGCGTCTACCGACGCTCTGATGAACCACTGACTAGCTACGCAGAAAGCACCATGCACTAGCTTTTTATAGAGCAAAATGAAGTTGGGTAAGCAGGGACACTGAAACACACCACAAAGCAGTAAGGACTACAGAACAAACCAACAGCCTGATATCAACCGCCGCCTGCCCGTGCGCGGCCTGCGCGAGCATCCCGTGCTGCTGAGTTAGCAGGAAATGGCGTCGTTCAGTGTCTATCACGGTGGAGCTAAAAGATCAACTGTAGAGGCTTGTGACAATGAAAAACGATCGCTTGATGGCCGTGTACACTTCCGTGGAACCTGGAGACGTTGAGTGAAAAAATCTAGGCAGCAACTTGTTCCGGTAAGGAGATAGCGGGTCTGAAGAAGAAAATCGCATATGAGCGAATTCTCGCGTAGAGAACTGATGGCACGTATCAAGTATTTGGGCACATGTATAGCTAGCCCGTATACTATTGCTAGAAGCTTAGCGAGTCATTCTCGCCCAGTTTTGAGACGTTATTTTGTATGCGGATCACGTGAGATTTGACCCGTGCGGGCCGTGCCATCCCTAAATCTCTTTCAGTCACGAATTCTGCTTCTGCGCGCCCGATCGGCGTTTTTCAGCAACTCTCCTGTACGCATGCGTAATTCTGCCAAATCGACACACCCCTTTCATCCCGCGCACGCCCGCTGTGGCGATCTTTCTTCCTGCCGTTTTACAGACGTACGCACAGCCTCTGTGCCTGCCTTTCATCCTGTTGAGACATTTATGACATGTCTCACTCAATACGGACCTTTTTGCCTTTTGCTTTTTTTCTGAAAGGGTAAGATGAAAGCAACATCAAAGCTCCGACCACCACATCCAAGAGCCGACTGACCACTTCTGAGGATGCGTTGGTTGTTTTTACGAGATAATGGCGCCATGCCGCCCGCCTACTGGGTAAAGTTCACACTTGTGCGAGTTTTGTTGGCGTTTCTAGAAGTGTGTAAATTTGCAATATTTTGTGACCAAGGGATAGCTAAAGAGCGTCGGTTGTTAGCACCTTTTGCGGCAGCCCTACGGATTATGTTAGAAATCTGCAACCCATTTGCCACAAAGAGGAAACTGGAATTCAATGCTAATAAAACACAGCTAATTTGTTTTCATCTTCCACATAATTATGCATCCTCAATCTGCCACTATATCGTTCAATAATGTTGTTCTTCAGTACTCCAGGGTAAGCAGGGACACTGAAACACACCACAAAGCAGTAAGGACTACAGAACAAACCAACAGCCTGATATCACCCTGGATGATTCTGAAGATATTGCTCAAGTTTTAAAGGACTTGATTCGTAAAGCTAACTCGGTTTTATGTACATTTCATCATGTGGATCCTTTTGTGAAGACCTTTTTAATCAAGTCCTACTGCCTGTCTCTCTACCGTGCCTCCATCTGGTCTCTGGGTGCAAAACAAATAAGACAGCTTGAAATCGGTTTTAACAAAATTCTGCGGAAGATATGGTATCTTCCCAGAAATTCTCATTCTGGCATTGCACATTGCGTTGCACATGTGGATACCATAAAGAATGTTCTATATCGTCGGTTTCAGTCACTGCTCTCCTCTGCTCTTTTATCACCATCATGCCTCATAAGGTCTATTTTTATTGAGTCTTCACTTTCTGTTCCTTCTTTTACTGGTTACAACTGTCTGTATGGTGCCAAACATATTAGATATTTTAAAGACACAGAGTACAACATTGCCTGTTCTGTAAGACTTATTCGTTCATGTCATGGCTATAATTCATGTTTTTTATTACCTACTGGTCTTGTGTTTAAGTGCTAGTCACTCATTTATTCTTCTTTTCTCTTTGCACTGGTGTGTACATGAATCGTAATAATAATAATAATAACACAGTACAACTAAGCATTTTGGAAGGTATATATAGTGTATTGATTTCTGTGCAGCTCATTGGTTGATAGAGTCACTAGAGGTCTAGGAAGTTGCAGTAAGTATCAAAAGACTCTAGGTACTCCAAAACCGCTTCAAACAACAAGTGATACTGGGCCTGTGGAAAAAATATCCGTATTAGATATTTTGTAAGCAAGCTAGCGAGGAGGAGAACCCACCACAGTGAGGACAGCTCCAGGTTTCTGTACCCTGAGAGCCTTGACCACCTGGAACACATCCACCACTCCCTCTGTCTTACACCTCTCAATGGTGGTGACTATGGCACAAAACATCCCTGACCTACCCACTGTGTCACTGCAGAATGCAAATGAGGCATGGGTTGAGCAAAACCACTATATTAGAGAGTCGGTAGACTCTCTATATAGGGATGACACGGGTGAAATCTCTCCGTGATCCGTGATACAAACGACTAAAAACTCGTGAGAATCACTCCCTAGCCTCAAAACACCTAGCATGGTCTACGGGCCCATATCTACCTATACATGTCCCCCAAGACCTCATACGCACCTTCAGTCGTCCACGCGAGAATTCGCTCATACGCGATTTCACGATTTTCGTGTCATCATATTATTCTTCTTCTTCTTCTTCTTCTTTAAACCCGCTATCTCCTTACCAGTACCAGTTCAAGCACTGATTTTTTCACTGAAGGTCTCCAATTTCGCCGGAGGTGTGCACGGACATCAAGCGATCGTTTCTTTCTTGCCGCTAGTGACTACGGTAGATCATGGAGCTCTTCCATGGTCGACACTAAACAACGCCATTTGCTGCTAACTCAGCATCAGTGAGCCGCGCGCATGCGCCAGGCAGGGGCGTTGTCCAATGCGCTTGCGAGCGTATTACCAGGCGAGTTGGCAGACCTGCAGAGGAACTCTCAGCCTCCAGTACCTTCTGTAAGTGAGTGTGCACATTTGCAACTGGCTACCTTGGCACGAAGAGCAACTTGGCAGAGTCTGAGCGCTGTTACGCGAGCCTTGCGGGGCGCTCAGTCAAATGGGCCTTCATTGTTTGTCCCCCCAGTTGTAGCCTGATTACCAAAGCCTGCCATGAAACCGCAACCATGTGCAATAATCTAATTACATCCTTTTTGAAGACATAATGCGTATCTAGCCCCTGCTTCAGGCACTAGCAGCCCCATTAGCTACTACTTTCAACAGTTACATTTGTCTGTAGCCTATCTTCAACATGCCCATGAACATCAGAGTGACTGTACAATAAACGCAGTGTTGTCATAAGCTGTTAAAAATAGTGGAAACAAGTGGAAAAATCATTTCTTCAAAATGAAAGGGGGATATAGGGATGGCTGAAGCACACAAAAAGGAAGAAACAAGGGGTCATTACCAGCAAAGTTGCACAAAGCTACATGACACCATCCCTATATCTTTGTTTCTTTTGTTTATTGTTTATAAGTAAAGTTTAATATCGAACAAAGATATAGGGATGGTGTCATGTAGCTTTGTGCAACTTTGCTGCGTAATGACCCCTTGTTTCTTCCTTTTTGGTGCTTCAAGCCATCCCTATATCCCCCTTTCATTTTGAAGAAATGATTTTTCCACTTGTTATAGTTCAACTGCTTTAGCTATCTTGTAGCCACCTTCCCATGCGATTTTTGGATGCTAAGATAATTTCATGTATATTTTTATAGTCTCACTACTATCCTTTTGATACCTTTTATACCATTTCTATCGTCTGTCATTCGAATTTGTCTGTCTCATCATGCTACCGCGCTGTACTAGCTCGCGCCTGCGCATAAAAGTTGATTTGCTAGCCCTCAGGTTTGTATTTGTGTTTTATCTCTGTGGCAGCCCTTTTCACACTTCTTTCTCTTCCTTCTTTCTATATGTAGTATGTAAGTAAAGCATGAGCTGTTATTTTACATGCCAGAGATAGGCTCCTGACTGTACCTCAACAATACAAGGGGGAGACACTCAGTGTAGGTTTGATATGCCCGGGCAGCAAGGCGAGGGAGAGGACTAGAGAATGCAGAGGTTCCACAAGGCTGGTGACCACTGTTCAGGACAATGACTCTACATTCCTTGGATTGATAGCCACATCCCACATCCCAACCCCAGATATTGTTGACAGCTGTCCATTGTACCACAGACTAGTTCCTGACCTGCAGTGGACCAGAACAGGATTGTTGCCGGCTCTTCTCTGAATGGCAGACATCTCATTTATCACACTGGTGATAGTGGCCAGGTGAGAGCAGCTGCCATCAGGTCTCCAGTTAGTCATGTGCAACTGAACCACCTGGTGGGCACTGCCTGCCTGTATAAAAAGAACCCCAAATATATTTTCTACCATCTATGACAACTTTCCTTAATACCTTCTCACTGTAGACGCTTATTTTGCGCATGATGAATCCCTCCATGACCTTTTCCTCCATCAGATCAACTGTGTAGCCCACAAACTGAATCAGTCCAGTCTGAGGCCAATACTGGTAACACGTCTCCTGCAGTTTTCAAGAGCACTTGTAGCTACGAGAGTCACTGTGCCAGAGTAGGGTTTGGCTACCTGTTCGTCTTCCACCAAGTCACAGAGCATAACAATGACTCCACACTTCCTGTCATGGACCATCTTCCAGAAATCTCTGGCTGTGGACTCCATGGGACTCTGAGCTATGATGAATGCTCTCTGTTGCTTGTAACCCTGCGAAACGAAAATGCAGTTGGTGAAATTAAGTAAAAGTGTCACCCAAAGGAGTGCATACATTAACAAAAACGGCGTGGATATAAGTCTGGAGATCTCCTCTCAGTGCCACACGCCAGGCATCACCTATAGTATGAGTTTTTACAAAGAATGAGAGAGAAATAATCAACACACACACACACACACGTTGTATTTTCATACACATGACCACAGTGAGTACATGACTCATTACCAGGGAGGTAGTCATCACTCCGATTCTTGGTGGGATTACGAAGAGCCTCGCTCCTTGCAATCTCTCCTGGCTTTACAGAAACCTTCTCAAGTACCTACGCATTTGAAATGCTCAGTTTAGTATTTATTGATAGCTAATGTGCATTGATTTTACCTCGAACTGCTTTTCAAAATCGTTGAGATTGGTTTGTGTGTCACATTCAGTCATTTTCTGAGTAACTCTGCGGAGGTTACAGGCATCGATTTGGGTATCACCGCATGTCAGGACCTCAAGGATAGCATCATGGATGAAGATATATTGTTCCTGTGTTCGACAGCAACACCAAATACGGTCACTGGAATAGCTATGCACACTACTACAACGATGCAATGGACTGGAAAAGAATTGAAGAGGACCTCACAAATTCCTATAGTAGGCAGTAGTGACATAACCTCTAAGTCAGATAGTGATACCAAGTTACATAAGCAGCGTATGCACTGTCAGGCGTATCCCACCCCCACTAGTTGTGCCACTCACCAAGCTCTGGACCATTTTCATTCTCTGTGTGCGGAGGTGGATGATGACACCAGCTATATCCACCACCTTCTCCTCTTCTTTCAGCTGCTCAAGAACACAGTCAATAGTTATCAGAGTCCCTGTCCTCCCAACACCAGCACTGTTTGAATAGGCAACGGAATCGTTTAAGCTTGTACATGCTAATTGTTGTACCTGCAATGGACAATAATTGGACCCATTCCTCCCTTATGATGTTTCTTCATTTTTTTGTGGAAGGCCAGAAGTGACGTGGCATAGTCAGGCACTCCATGGTCAGGCCAGGCTGTGAAATGGAACTGAGTCACACTCAGAGCTGGTTCTGAGCTCTCTGCCAGCTGAGGAGAGACTCAATATAAAGATGCTCCTACACACCAGCGTGTGCATTACCTGGACACTAAACTCCCGAGTGGTGTAGTCAGCCAGTATCTGTTGTCCTGTGATGGTGACATTGAAGGGACCAAAGGACAGCGTCCCAGTCTCTGGCCAGTACTTGTGACACTTGATCCTATTTCCCTCCACCAGATTGGTGACCATCACAATGCTCTGAGACCTCTCCTGCCACACCATCCTCCAGAAGTCAACAGTTGTGTTAGGCAGTGGTCCTGTAGTAAACACCTTGCATCAAAGACAGCCTGGCTACATATTATTTGTCTTACCCTGCGTGTTGCTATGAACTTGTGCTCAAAGTTGTATCCCTATACATAGGAGTGAGCAAGAGAGTTTACATAGGTGTTACACTCATTCAAGAAAACTGCACGGCACATTTTGACTGGACTTAGTAAGATAGGAATCCAGCTTACATCAATGTAACTGGCATTAATGTAGTCTCCTTTGTACTCAGTGTGTCCTTCAACTGCCATGAGGAAGACCCTGTTATCATCATCTGGATTGACAGGTTCCAAAATGAATCGAGCACAGATGGCAACAGTAATGCCTTACATGGCATGATATTTTTATATCTGTTGAGCTTTTGCAGACTCGTGTTAGATCCAGCAATTGTGGAAAAGCCTGCACCACAGTCTTGCATCACCTGAAACAGAGTCCAGGTGTAGTTTAGTGTTGCCTCGTGCATGCAAATGCTCAGTCCAATCTCACTGTAAACTGATGTTTGAAGTCTCTGTTGTCACTGGAGTGACATCGTGTGACGTAATCTCCAAACACTTCAGCCAAGATTGGATCAAAAGAAGGCATTTTCCTTCAGTGCAGGAGAGTCGTCACTTCCCTGAGAGACAAATAAAGCTAGTATCTCCGCTTGTATACGTATTCTCCCCTTACCTCAATGTCGAGCAAGTATTTGTCCAGATCTCAGTCTTCTCTTCAATAGGTGCCATCGCTGGCTCTGTGATGGAAAACCCAAAACACGTTCAGAATCACGATTTGTCACGTAAAAAAATATGTTAATCGACATACGATCATTGTTTGTCTCTGTGGAGAGAGGGTGCTCAATAGCCTCGCTGTCATGGGAGATGTAGAAGGAGTTAGTGTGGAGAGAAGTGGGAGTGAACCCGTGGAAGCTTTCAAAACCCAAAGACAGACTCAGCCTCTTGAGGGACATCTTCTTTGACTTAGTACAACATCGCCTCCTGGTGAAGAGGATTTCCAGATACACAATATAAAACACGTGTTCAGTAATGGTGTGACATTAGTCTGAGTAACCCAGGTCAAGAAAGCTATGCCGTGCCTCGCTTGTGTGCTCAATTACCTATGATGCAGTTAGGGTGTGACCCTAATTAATCTGAGGTAACCTGGTAAAGAAACGCCATTCAGTGCCCTGCTCACGCCCTTACATTACCAATGTGTGTACAGCTATGGTGGATCTGAGGTAACCTGGTAAAGAAAGATATTCTACACCTCTTCAAACCCTTACATTCTTACATTACCTATATGTGTAGAGTTAGGGTGTGACTTACCGCAGATGCAAACGCAGAAGACTATGATGCAAAACAGAATTAATGCTATTATGATTGCCAAGAGAAGAATCAGTATC